TATATATATATATATATATATATATATATATATATTTAATTATTTAAATAAAGTACAAAACAAACGTTGTTACTCAGAGTTTCATGCCTGAGTTTGAGAAACTCAGGCATGAAACTCTGAGTAACAACGTTTGTTTTGTACTTTATTTAAATAATTAAATATATTTAGCTCTACAATAAAGTATTGAGCACTCTATATTATATCAAGAACACTTGAATTGTTATATATATATATATATATATATATATAATATTAGCTACTAACCAGACAACGGAATTAATTTATAATTTTATTTTATATTGCACTGTTCTTCAGACAATATTAGACCAAAATATATATCTTACCTTGAATTTTACACAATATTTAGATATATTCTCACGTATACATGTTCTTTACATGGTAATCCTCCGTTTTCGTATTTGAGTAGTTTCATACATATACATATATCGCTAAAATAATTTGCCATGACTTGTCTGATACCCACTTAAGAAATTATTCCTTTTATCCCTGCTAAGGAAGTTAATATTAAAAGTATTCATTAGTTTTGACATTTCGTGAACCCAATGGAAAAAATACGCCATAATTCATTTACACATAATTACTTTTTCTATTCTTTGTTGACATTTCTTATTTATGTTAGTCTAATCAGTGATTAAACCCCATGCACGGACCGTGTACATGTCGATCGATATATTTTTGAATATAATGATTAGATTAGATTTGACCGTTCTAAAATTTGTTATATACTGTTAGTCCAAACTGATATAAAACATTAATATGGAGTGAGGTTTTGTTGCCTACTATATGCAGACGTTTCGCAGTATTGGATCCTAGCGGATAATGTGTCTTTATGCATGCTTATTTGCATGGATGACGCACGCACATCTACCGGATTTAATTCGTGAAATTGTTTTAATATTGCCCACTTTGTGTAAACATAAGACCAGCTCTAAGATTCGTAGGCCCTACAAGCAAAAATAGCTGAAAAGGCATACATGCGGGATAAAATAAATGTATACATAGTCCTATGTTACTGTATATAACTTTGAACATTATACTTGCATGAATTTAATGTCCTGTCAAGTTCAACTCATACATAGAATATAATTATAAGTAATAGCATGGCATTCAGGTCGAATAGTGATTAAATGTACCCGAAAGCCGAGAGAGGTATAGTAACTTTTACTAAACCTCTCGAGGCTTGAGGGACATTTCATCACTAATCGACCGTAATGCCATGCTATTACTTTGTAATATCATAGTTGCCTAGGGAATTGCGCGTGGTGTGTTGCCTGTTTTGAATGCTGTTTGATTGTCTTATGATTGTGGTACGAACACTTTTCATATATACGCACGCGCAGAAACACATCTCCGTGTTCATTCGTTTTAGGCATGCGCATAAACGGAATTTTCTCCCACAATTGTAATGTTCAAGATTAGGGAATAAAAGCTGGCAAAGTGATTGCTCGAATGTGTACGGGACGGTGTCGTCAGATACTGTCCATAGTTGTGCCGATGATTTTCGATGAGGTACAGCTCTCCAATCAGAGGTAATGAGGTACGCTTTTGTCTTGTAAATTTCCCTCATCAAGCATGCAGGGGAAAATTAGAAGACAAAGAAATCCTTTGTTTTCAACTAAATTTACCGGTTAAATTTAGAAGACAAAGCGTATGCATGGTAATGACATAAATTAGTGATTAATCGTACCTCGCGAGACAAAGGATTTCGAGGCAACTATGATGTTATTAGATTACACTGATATCAAAGGAACTAGACTCAGTTCCGAAATATCACATACTCAGGCCGATCTGACCGCATAGCTCAGTTGGCAGAGCATTGGGCTAGTACTCCTAAGGTCGTAGGTTCGATTCCCACCATAGCCAGGCAAATATTTTTCAAGCCTGACCGGTGTGGATATACACTCGGAGTAACATCACAAGCATAATACTAAAACTGTCTGTACCAGTGTGGGTAGTACCAATGTGAAAATGATTTGCTGAGTGGTTATATTACTACCTGAAATAACAAAACTGCTTGTTTATTTCAGGTAGTAATACAGTATAATCTCGCAGCACATTAAAATAATAGAGTATGCTGCATTGCCACTTAATGGGTTAACAGGGTGCATGGGCAGATACTCTGATTAATTAATAATAACCAATTGAGCGGCAGCACTCTCCCCCTGACGAGTAAAATCATCTGTCATTAGACAGAGTATAATAATAGAATAGGCAACATCAGGGCACATTGTCACTTATTAAAATGGATTCACATTGGATATACTGTACCCGGATACAGTGCAAGATTTAAATATTTTAAAATATATGATGCTAACATTCTAAAAGCTATAAAATGTGAATTTAATAAAGGGAAATTAAACATCAACTGTGGCATCTCTACAGAAACTATTAAACCATCCACTATTCTCCCAAGCTAGGTTTCTCAAACTGCAAATTGCCAGAAGCGAAATGACCAGCCAACCACGAGTAGAAACACTGACATTAAGTCCACAACTGTTGGTACAATTGAATTACTGTTCAGCCAGTGCATGGAAGACTAGATCGGCAGAACGTGGTGATTCATCTCCCAGAATGTTCCAGTAAACTATAAGGCGTCTATAGTAACTGATCTATATGCAAGAAAAAAATGCTATTTCTTTAATGTATCATTTACCTGATAATCGGCTGAATACACGCACTTCACACTGTGTGACAACGTTCCTCGTTAATTTAAAAACACAATATTTTTATCGTATATACAAACTACGGGTCGAATTTCGCAGCCAGCGAATGGCGTACCAAACATTTTGATTAGCGATACGTTGCGTTTACAGAATGTGATGTTTTTTGCTGTTGTTGTTTTCTTTCTGCATCTCACTCGATTCAATGAACTTTTTAAAATGATAAAGGTTTTCGTTGATGGATAATTCGATCCTCGAATCGCATATATTCGCCTCTATTTGCATCCATAGACCGTATTGTAACTTATAAGACAAAAGTATGCATAGAGATTAGAGTCAAAACAGATGATATATTGCCACCGCTGATTGGCTAGAACTAGAAGCAAGAAAGTCCACTAACTAACGTATCTACTGATTGGCTAAAGGTCACTAACTTACACGCACTGTAGGAATTTCAACCTAAATCCAAAATTAAAATGACTAAAATTTAAACTGTTAAAATGAGCATATTTCAACCAAACGAATATAGGTTGTTTTAACTATAATACAAATAGTACGGATATTCACCAATAATAGTTGGTTGATTTGGCCAATTCTTGTTGGTTATAACAACCAGTAAATAATGGTCCAAGTCGAAGTACGAGACAACGCACTTTGATTGGTTAAATGATGTTGTGTCACGACCTGTATAGTAAAAATATATTTCGTAACTTCTAAAATTAAGTATAATAAGTATAGTGCACGAGAGTTACTAGTCTGTGTTCCAGTCGACTACACTGTTACTAGCACATAGGCTAGAGATTTGCATGGTAGTCAAGTATTTTATCTTATAATGAAATCAATACAAAGCACTTAGCTTAGCATTAATTAGATCGCGATGACCATGGAACCCTGCCCGTGCTCTTTCAATCTCTCATTATTACAATATGTTACAGCAATTGATCGCCATATTATCCTTGTTCTAGCTTGTGTTCTATATTCCACTATGCACTTGATGTTCTTCATAATAGTGCTAGAAATTCTCAACACCGATTGACAGAATTTGACCAATCCTTCCAAGCAGAATACGCTCGAGGAACATACAATTGTTTTTGCCGATGCCAATTGCTCCCTTGGGGGTATTCAGCATTAAATGCATAATACGCTGCTACTAAGCATTAAACAGCGCTGATTATAGTACTTCCTCTAAATTTGACAACTATCATACCCTCTGCAACGAGGGCAAGTGAAAATACCTCTTCTAGAGATGCAATGCCGTGGTGTTGCCTTTATTCTCTCAGAATGCTGAATTTCAGAATGTTTGTCCTTTCTCATTATGAGCATGAACATTATGAATATGAAGATTATCATCATGTGCAAGTTCTGACCAAAGTCTTTTCCTTTGCTTTCGCTTTTCCGTTTCCCTTTCCCCTTTTGGGCGGTACACCCTCTTCATCAACTGGCGGGTTTTGTGAGGTAGTGTCTTATTCACCCGACTCTAAGAATTTAGCCAACTTCTTTTTACGGGAATTGGATGATGTTGAGGGGAGAGATGCCTTGTCAGGGTCCGCACAGGTTTAATGTTTGTCCTTTCACGTTATCAACATGAACATTACGAATATGAAGATTATCCTCATGTGCAAGTTCTTCAATAACTAAAGTCAATTCCTTTGCTTTCGCTTTCTCTTTTCCTTTCCATTTCCCTTTCCCCTTTTCGGCGTACACCCTCTTCATCAACTGGCGGGTCTTGCAAGGGTGGTGTTTGCTTCATCCGACTCTCGGAATTTAGCCAAATGTCTTTTACGGGAATTGGATGATGTTGAGGTGAGAGATGCCTCGTCAGGGTCTGCACAGATTTTCATCAAATATTCCTTCAATTATTTTGTTGTTGCATTTGATTTAAACTGCTTCACTTTGTTTGAAGAACTAAATGTTTTTTCCGCTAGCCATTCTGGATTGCTAAATAGCATTTTGATAACAGAATAATGTGAGATTTCTGGTAGCGTTTTATCTATCTCTTGTCTGAAGTGGTTTACAACTAAAAAAATATGCGTTTTAACCCATTAAGCACCAGTGCTCCCCCTTGATAAGTAAAATTATCAGGCGGTGGGAAGAGTAAAGTCAATGGGACTCAATGGTTAATATATAAACTGTTAGTCAGAAGATTTTGAGGTAATATTTTATAATATACAAACTGAATGCAATAATTGAAAGACACTACATTTCAAGATTAGAAAATCTGAACTTGTAAGTCTTTGAACAGTTCATAGCTAGAAATAACACATGGCTATTATTGCAATTCATCACATGTGAGATACCACATGTACTAATAATTTCAAACTATGCTATATCCCCCCAAGCTTCGGTTAGATGGGGCGTGTCCTCAAAACTAAAGAGAAATTCACTTAATCTTCTTGATTCATCAGGATCCAGACACCTGGACGTCCTGCTTCTGAATACCATTTTACTTGCTGTCCTTTCTTCATTGTCAACTTGTTCGACCAAAGCAAACCACTCCTGGTTATCTGCACCAAAACACAAATTGTATTTTCAAGCTGAGGGTAAACTGGAACATACACTTCCTCAAGAAGTTCTGGTTTCTTGAAGTCCACTCGAAGATAGAATGATGGAATCAGAAGGTTCAGGATCTATCATAACCTTTCTCCTAATTCTACATTTTGGCTGAACACTGTCCCTTAAGGACATAGTTCCTTGCAGTGAATTGTGGTGTCTGTGTCCAAGGATGGTAGATAACATTTCCATTGTTCAGGATTCGGATGAAATACTTGCCATTCACGAAAATAAAATATTTACCATCAACTGGTCGAACTTGGAAAAGATCAGAGATCTCCATAACCCAATCTTTATCTGCTGAGCGGATTTTGCAGACAATCCCTCTGCTCGTTTTATCTCTATCACCAACTGCATCCTTGATGGCTAGACGCTTTACATGAATGAATGAGTACATGATGGCTGGACGCTTTACATTAATATCAGAGCGTGTAAAGAACCTGTTAACATAAGCAATGATGGTATAATTAGGATATTGAAGTACAACGGGCAAATGTTTTTTCTTCGGCGCTTCCTTGTTCAATTCATCTTCGGAACTGTCATACAGTTCAAGTATTGAGCGTTTTGCGCTTGCTTGAGGTTTTGAACCTACTTTTTCGCCTAGACACGTGTTTATAAGGAAAGATTTCATTGTGTTAAAATCCTGATGAATTTTAAACTCTTTGTCCGACTCATCAGAACCCTGGACCAGTCTTGGATAATATTATTCTGTAGGACTCTGAAACAATGTTCTAGCAACTTGCACTTGGACGCTAAGTGTGGTGGCTAAATTGCTGCCAGTTATATATGCAGACTGAAGAATTGTATACAATTCCTCATTCGGTTCCATTAGGGACCTGACAGCTTTTTTCACCTCTTCTGCTCTAGGGAAAGTGTTACCCTTAGTATCTAATGGCTCAAGCGAGTTAATTAGAACAGCGAGCCATCACTCTCTGTCCAGACGTCATAGGCATACCCCTGGATGGTCAGGTTTGACGCCGCTCGGCAACGTTGGCCACTGGCGATCATAACCCTTAGCAAGAGATAGTCCCGCATTGCCGAAAATGTTTTCACATCAGCAGTGGCTTGTTGGTCCGCTGCCATTGTGTCAAACATTTTCATTATCTCCAACGCTCGTCCGCTTTTGACGAAAGACTGACAATTTTCCGCTGTTAGTCTTTCCTCCACGTCTCTCTTTCTGATGGCTGCTTTGCGGAGGTAGTATCAATATAGTTAAACAGATATGATAAGACCAAACTTATCTCGCAAATGTTAACTAGAAGGATAACCAGTCAGCGATATCATCCTTATTAATTAAACAAATATTGATCCAGTGTGAAAAATACGGTTTATTGTCTTGATCCTATTATCGCGTCCGGAATTCTAATATATTCAGAGTATAATAAATCTTGCGTATATATAAGTGATAAATCTGGACAAGGTTTACAAAAAAGATTGCATCCCAATCCCAATATAAAAATCAAAATCGTGACTCTGATATGATTGCCAGAAAATTTGTTGTCTGTAAACCGCACACAAATACTAAATGTGGGCGAAAGTTTTGACCCGAGTGCCACTTTAAATAAGTTTTTGTCCGTGAATTTGTTTGACGGTATGCAAAATGCATACTAAATACTGATAACACCATGTATTCTTGATATATATTGCGACAACACTATCCCACTTGTGGATAGACAGAATATTGAATTAAAGGAGAAGTCGCTGATTCTGAGTCAGTCACTGATACATATGTTGTTCCCATGGTAACTATATGCAATGCCATTTTATTGCACAACATCAGGCGGTTGTGGCAAAAATGATTACATGAAAAGTAAAGTTGAGAGAGATTTAAAAACACATTTTTGGATGCCCAATTAATGGATCCATGCTGTGAACCTAAAAAAAATATCATGTAAGGGCATATGGCAATTTTTTTTTAAACATTGAACGAAAATACTTTAAAATCAGTATAACTGAAAGTAATAATTATCACTTATATACTGAGACCGAGGGAAACGGTGTTTTTTGTGAACCCGGGACCGAGGGGCCACAACATTCTGAACTGAAAAGTGAACACATACACTTGAATGACTGTCAGTTACAATTACAGTATTAAATAATTAAATAATTTAGTGCTAGGCATATTACTTATAGTTAAAATTTATAGTTACATTACAGTCCTTAAATGCTCCCGGCTGGATTGAAACAGTCTCGTTTTTCGTAATGTTTTTCTGCGAGTAGCTGTTCAGAACAGGCGAACCGGGAAGAGACGAAAACGGCAACGGGGACTGTAAAACTGTATCAAGTGCTGACCGGTATTCCTGTGAAGGGATTTCAATGGATGACGAAGAACTCTCGGTAACTGATCGAGGGACTTTGGCTGCGGGTTCACTCTCGGGATTTGGCACCGAACGAATATCACTCATAGCGTGAGACGGAAAACCACAATAATGGCTTAAAGAATTTGGTATGTCTCGTTGCTTCTCTTTGGACAGCGGTCGAGAATATGACCTGATCCTCGCTTCGGATGTTTGTCCAGACACGTTTGCATAAAATGACTTTAGAAGACCATCTAGCTTGGACTTTTCAAGGCATTGTTCTTCGAAAGCAAGTCCTTTCGCCGCACAATACTGTTTTAGTAAGTCAATTGCCAGCTTTGTACTTGTTTTTTTTATTTACTATCTTTGTATTGCAATAGCTGAGCAATATCCTGCTCGGAACGACTATCGAATTACCGAGCAGACATTTTTTTTATATTTCAAAACAGCAAAACTATTGAATGAACTTTGGAACTTGACGGTTGACACGCATGTGTATTGCACCCATTTTATTATTGACTGGTCAATAAATGTTTGATTGCGGACCGGTTGCCTAACATGAGGTTTTGTGGACCGGCACGTGATACGGTTTTGACCAATCGGCAAACAGAAAAATTGAATTTTGACACTAACTATATAACAATATAGGGCTTTACACAGTGATTATTTTTTCAGGAATAAATTTTTTTTAGGTTCACCACATGGCTTCATTACTAATGATATATTACTGAAAGTTTGAGACGGATTGTGTATATATTAAAGTCAGGAGAGTTTTTGGCAGCTCACGAAAGGTCAATTTTAGAAAATTAAGCTTCAAGTTTTTTAAACACTGTTTTGTTTAAAAATTGCTTTGTTTGACATGTGCTGGGTGGTTTTGGCTGAGAAAATCCAAATTCTTTTCAATAGTTTCTGCAAACTCGCTTATTCCTGTTTGCGGTCGGCGAAGCCATTCACAGTTTATTGAAGACAGAGGACGGATAATGACGTCTTCGGATGGTGCATCATCAGCCATTCCATATATGGCCTTAAGAAACTGGTCGAGAAATGGCGAAAATAGTTAACTGCTGGTGAACCTGGTTCATTTGCGTTCTTGTGTTTGGTTGCCGCATACATCTAATAGAAAGAAGTAGGAAAAAGTTCTGGAATTTGCCTCAACAGAAATAGACTTATGAGCATTGTCCAATCCTGAGAAATATCATCAAAAGCATGTTGAGAAAGACAGGAAAGCAAGATTCAGCATATAAAAATCATTATAAAGATTTTACTACTTGAAAAAGCAAGAAAAGCAAGATTGAGCATACAAAAATGATTGAAAAGATTTTCCTACTTGAAATGCTGCTGTAAAAGTATTAAAAATATATTACAATCGGCAAATAAAATTGTTAATAAAATACTTGCTTGAAAAAATATGTCTTTAAAAGTTTTTTAAAACTGTCAACGGTCTTTGCGTGCCGTATTTTTGCAGGTAGCTTGTTCCAAAGTGTAGGTGCAGCAAATGCGAATGACCTATCACCGAGAGTGGACAGAGACTTCACTTTGGGTTTTTGAATGAGTAGTTCAGAATGTGATGTGAGATTGTACCCTGACTTAGACTTGATCATGATGATATCAGTGATATACTGTGCCGCCAGGCTATGTAAGCCTTATAAGTAATTAATAAGACTTCTAAACCAACTCTAAACTTGATAGGAAGTCAAATCAGCAGAACCTCTTAAAACTAGCCAGCAGCATACGTTTCACCTTCGTTCTCCTTGTTCTTGTCTCCAAACTTCTTATTTTGACCGACGGCAATCTGCCCGAGATACTCCTATGTGACTAAGGACTCCTAGTTTTATCAGATCAGATCCAATACAGACGGACTTCGAAATTATTTGCCAAATTATTCCATCAAATGCCTCATTTTGATTTTGAGTTTTCCCATCAAGACACTTTCTCAGGAGGTCATCTTCACTTAAACGGGAATATAATTCATATATATAATTCCTCAGTGAGTTTCAGCGTTCTTTGCTTTATCCCTTTGATAACCACACCAGCTATCCTCACCTTCAGGACAGTATGCGCTTCTGAATGATATGGTCGGTCGTCATAGGAAGCACAGCGAAAAAGTGTGACAGGTATGAGAAGATAGTTCTTTATTGTGTTAAGGTTGCTTTTATTGCTCCCGATAGCAATGCCATAATAGTTTTGCATTTTGTCAATCATACTATCAGTCAATTATGCTTTTCTTTCCAAAACGCTTTCTCAAAATTGGGTGTGTTTAGTGGCAGCCGTAAAATCGCCAAAACGTAGAAAAGTCAGGGAGATGAAAGAATTTTGCCTTGAATTTTGGTAAGAATATCAGGCATACGTTATATATAAACACACACAGACAAACATTTTTGTTTACCATCTTTGCCATAATTCTTTAATCCCTTTATTGTGGCGTTAGATTTGAAGTCCTTGACTTCGTCTGAAGAACTGACTGTTTTTTCTGCCATCCTTTCTGGATTCGTGAATAACATTTTCACAACAGTAGTGTGCCCGATGGAGGTAAATCGCTCCCCCAAGTTGGAATGCTGTAGCAAAGAATTCGTCAATATCGTCATCATCCTTCAAGATTGTCTTCATTAATTGCTTAATGTCACTTTTTTTTGCTTGCCCTTCGTTGTTTTAACGCTTAAAAGCGTGTTTAACTTTTTCAGAGCTTCAATAAATGGCGATAGTGTGGTTTGCATACTTTTCAAACGTCGGGGCTTGATGAATTTTGACTCCGATTTGGTGAGCATGTATTGTATTGTGAACTTTATTTAGTCACGGTGGACTCATCAGGATTTTACACACTTATGATAAAGTAACAAAGGAAATTAGATATATGATAAATTATACTATACATATTTACAAAACTACCTGTTTTTCATGAGTGCCGTGCATTAAATTGATAAAATTAGATAAAATATTTAAAAATTATTGAATAAAGTTGCTACAGTCAGACTTAAATTTATGTAAAGTACTAGCCTGTCTTAACTCAGTAGGAAGAGAATTCCACAGTACTGCACCGCTATAACTAAAGCTATTTTTCAAGTAATTAGTACGCGGTAGTGACAAAGCTAGTTTGTTACTGGTGTCTCTCAATGCATAATTTGTGATACTATTGCGATCAACAAACATATTAGAAAGATAATCTGGAGCAAGACCATTCAAGGATTTATACACCATGATAGCCTTGGTAAGCCTACGCTGAGATACAAGATTTTTCCATCCAAGACTTTCGAAAAGATAATCGGCATTTGTATCATAACTAGAAGATGTCATTACCCTGGCAGCACGATTTTGTAATTTTTGGAATTTGTTAACTAGATAACTACTGCAACTATCCCAGACAGCAGAGCAGTAGTCGAAATATGGTTGAACTAAGCACTTGTAAATAAGTTGCATTGTGGTAAAAGGAACATAAGGTCTAATGCGTTTTAGTGCAACAATACCGGAAGCAACTTTTTTACTCAGTTTCTCAATATGAACATTCCAGGATAAGTTCTCATCAATGTGTACGCCGAGTGATTTTGTATGAGAGACTTGTTTAACTGGAACGTTATTTATTACTAATAAAGGAGTAGATTGAAAAGTGTTTATTCTTTGGCGAGAGCCAATTAGCATAAATTCAGTTTTAGTCTGGTTTAAAGTAAGTTTGTTTGCTGATAACCATTCACTGACACTAGCAAGATCCTCGTTAAGATTATGATTAATTTCATGTATGTTATTACTTGCATATGTCAAATTAGTGTCATCAGCAAACATTCGTGCCCGAGAGTGTATTAGACAATTAGGAAGATCATTAATATAGATTAAAAATAAAAGCGGGCCTAATATAGTTCCCTGAGGAACCCCACATTGTAGTAATCGATTCGAGGAGAAATGACCGTTAACAAAACACTTTTGATTACGTTCATTTAGATACGATCTTAACCAGTTACCCGCAGTTCCCTTGATTCCATATGCATTAAGTTTGTTCAGCAATATTTCATGATCTACAGTGTCGAACGCTTTTTTAAGATCAAGAAACATTACAGCATTTACATTACGACTGTCAATATTATAAGCCCATTCGTTGGTAGCCTCAAGAAGAGAGGTGACAGTAGAATGTAGGCCTCGAAATCCCGATTGATAATTAGTTAATAATTCATTTTCAGCTATAAATGTATATAGCTGATCATAAATTACCCTTTCAAAAACCTTAGCCACAATAGGAACAATAGAAATGGGACGATAGTTATCAACGCAATTGCGTTTGCCTTGTTTGTATATAGGAATAACTTTAGCACATTTCCATTCGTTTGGGAATATGCCTGTAGTGATAGAACGATTAAAAATAAGACAATTAAGTCAGAGCATTCTCTAATTAACCTAGAAGATATTTTGTCTAAACCTGTTGCTTTAGAAGTGCTTAACGTGGACAGTAATGCGTAAACGGTTGGAATACTTATTTCCCTCAGTTGAAAAATAGCATTATTTTGGTTAGGTAAATAATCAAGATAAGACCGATTGCTATAATTAAGATTAATTTTATCTGCAAGGTCTGGTCCGATGTTTGAAAAGTGATCGTTAAACGCATCAGCAATTTTGCTAGGGTCATTAATTAATACGCCATTCAAATCAACCTCGCCAATGTGAGGGCTTTTCCTATTCTTAGAAGTAAGTTCATTAATGATCTTCCAGGTCTTATTAGGATTGTCTTTATTATCATTGAAAGAATTTTTGAAATAGGCTTGCTTTGCGTAGAAGATTTCAGAATTAACAAAATTACGCATTTTCTTAAAAGAAAGCCAATCTTGAGTATCGTTGGAACGAATTGCTTTAATTTTTAGGACATCTCGCCTATGCATTTTATCTTTCAAAAGAGATGTGATCCAAGGCGATTTAATAGCCTTAACGCGCTTAGTTCGAATTGGGGCGTGCTTATCTGCGACAGAATTGAATGTGGCTTTCCAAGCATGCCACATGTCATTAGGGTTTTCGTACTGATTGATATAGTTCCAACTCTGTTGACTAATATCATTACGAAATTTAGTAGAATCAAAGTTTTTAAACTTTCTGTAGTTTATTGAAGAATGTACCCCCGTCGATGAACCCACAGAAAGTTTGCGAAAGGCGTAAATAAGACTATGATCGCTTATACTCACATGAGAAACACCAGAGCAAACAACCTTGTCAGGAGTATTTGTGAAAATATGATCTAACAATGTTGAGGAGGAGTCTGTGATTCGAGTAGGTTCATTTATAAGCTGAGAAAGATTATATAAATCGGCAATATCCATGAGTGACTTCGAATCATGATCTAAGACTGTAGAGCTCAAATCACAGTTGAAGTCGCCCATGAGGTAATACTCGATATTTTCGGAATCGAGCATACCTAGAAGAATTTCAAAATAATTAAACATTGCTACAGGCGAATTAGGAGGCCTGTACCAAGTGGTAATAAGAAAAGGCTTGGCTCTAGGTTTATTAACTGAAATACACAGGTTTTCCAATTGCTCAAAAGATAGATCATGCCGAACTGAAAAATTTATACAGCTACGAATATAAAAACAAACCCCACCGCCAAATCTACCATTGGAATCTCTATCTCGCCTAACAATTTCGTATCCAGGTATATGTACTTCGTTGTCACCAACCGTAGAGTCAAGCCTTGTCTCATTAATAGCCAGTACATCAATCACATTATTTGATAGATAGATTCTAAGCTCATCAATATGTTTGACTAAACTGGTGATATTAAGTGAGGCAAGTTTAAAGCCACTCCTGTTTGGCAAGAGCAGGTTTTGAATGTTAGAAGTAGTTTGCATAGTCTTAGATTGAACATTATTTACTGAATTAGCAACTCTAGACAACGTAATATCATGTCAATTTTCTAAGTTATTTATAAACTCTTTGAAATTGTTTTGGAGGGATATACTGCCTAATTTATTTAAATGGAGACCTCTACTGTTGAGGTGACTAGTGTTAATATTAGCGTTTTTAAGGAAGGGAATATTGTTCATATGACAAAGATTTTCTAAGGTGGAGTTGACTTGATTAACCTTGGTGGCTAATATCGGGCAATCATTTCTGATTAACAACGCAGAAACACCTACCATGGAGTTAGGAGAATCCTCTTTGATTTGGGTTGTCAGATTCAAAATAGAATCGGTAATAACTTTCGGCGTAGAATTTTTCAGATCATTAGTGCCAACATGGAGGATAATTTTGTCCGGTGACTTGCGGGTTGTAGGTTTGATAAAATCCTCCATGTCGGAAATAGTTGCGCCAGAAAAAGATTTAACAACGTAGAGGTGGTCTGCGTCAGATTTGCTCATAGATGGTCCAACTACATTCTTTACTATTGAGTCGCCAGCGATTACCACTACTGGCTTACGGTTACCGGTCGAAGTTGATGGATTACCAGCAGCTTTATTTACAATTTCTTTAGGTGGGTCAACCCCTGACTGTGACGATGACTCATTTACATTTCTCTTCTTCTTTTTTCTCAGTTTCTTTTCCTTTTCTTTAGACGAAGTTGAAGGGATATCCGACTCTTTCGTATGTCGTGGGTTTACGTATACATCTGATTCACTTGAGACGTTGGTGGAATTCTCTTCGTTTTGATTTAACAATTGTCTACTTAGCATTTCGACTGTTTTGATTAGGGTTGAATTATCGCGTTGAAGGCGGGAAATTTGCATATCCATGCTTGACTTGTCAGCTTTGTCTCCTTCGCGATAAACAAATTTCTTAAGACAAGTAATTTCTGTTTTTAGATTATCAATTTCCCATCTTTGCTTGATACAATCGGCACAGCAAGGACCACCGCTCGTAGCATCAGGGTCTTGCATGTGTACTGTTTCCGATTCACGTAAACCCCGATGAGCATAACTATGTTTTTTATACTCGCACTGCCTAAACACATCACGCCGTTCGTCTGTGTGTTGAATGAGAGGAGATAATTGATTCTCGCCTGTACCAGATTTAGAATTTGCCATTTCAAATTCAGGATTACTGGGGTTTTCATCACAATTGATATCTTTGCTATTTAGGCAGGATACATTACTGACTTGCAGTAAAGAAGTATATAATCTAGGCGATTCGTTCAAATTAATATTGCACGCTTCGACGCTCGCGTCAGCTATGAAGGATTCTAATGACTTGTTAAGGTCGCTGTTTTGATCTTTCTTTTGATAATCAGGTTTTAAAAGGACACTATGTATTTGATCACATAAATCATTGGCTTTGGCTCCATCAAAGGATATAGATTCGCTCTTTGAGTGCCACTCAACTTTTAGCTGCTCGCTATTGAAGCACCACTTTCCGCCGCTAGGTGAATGCCATTTCGAACTTTGGGCTGCTTGCTCATCAATTATCGTCAGAACGAAAGCTTTAAGATCTCCAAGTGTTCCTGTCCAAATTAATTTGTTTTTCTTTCGGCCAAAGAAGCCGAACAAGGTGTTAATAACTCTAGAAGAATTCATTTTAATCGTATGCTCTTGTGTGGAGATGTTCACTCACACAAGGTCTTGCAGGACTGGTAACAGAGATTCCGGTTTAAAGGCAAAACGAGCACTCAGAGGACGAAGAGTCCCCATTTTTGAAGGTTTTTCCGGGTTGGTAGCGAATTGTTTATGTAGCGAGTAGTGAATTGAAAAAGTTTTTTGGTAGTTTGGATTGCCAGGTTGGCCAAATCGAATTTACTTGGAGTAGTGAAAGAAAGAGTAGAGAAGAATGAACCTTGACATTTTAACCGATTTTCCAATTTATCTTCATGAATTTTAAGGCATGACTTCATTACTACTTTGGTCGACGTATACTTGATCATATTGGATGTTAGTATGATTACAGGTCGACTTCCAGAGGTGGGTTATTGATTCGTTAGGAGATGACTTCAAAACACTGCGGATAGTTGTTTGACATTGTATGAATTTAGTTGATGGGGGGATAATGTACAGACCAAATGTGTTACTGGTTAGGTAAATGTTACTAAGTGATCCAGAAATAGGTACCTCAAGCCATTTACGAATGTATTGTTTGATAACTGAGTCCAGGTTTTCGGAAATCCACGTTTTTCGAATTGATGCTATAGTGAAATGCCATGAGAGTTTTGAAAGAACGTAGCGACTGTAGAGGAGAATCATGTTTTTTGGATGTAATGCCTTCAGATCTATTTCTTTCATTAGGTCTGTCAATAGTGATACTAATTCCGATTTATGTTCATTATTTGTCATTTCGTAATTAAAGTACCTTCCTAAATAGCAGAACGATTTTCCACTTTCAATAGCTGGAATTATAATTATAAATATACTGGACTGATTTGGTGAGAGCTTTTTTCATGCCAAAGGTGCTACATTTATCTTCTCGAATAATCATGTCTGACCATTGACACCAAATTGCAAAACTGTTTAGTAGGTGTTGATTTTCAGATTCTTGGCGGTTATTACGGCTGCGTCGACGGCGAACTGGAACCAATGAATTGGGTTGAGAAGTTTATAAGAAAAATCATACTGTTGATATTTTTTCCGATTTTATGTGCTGGATAAAAGTATTAAAGCATAGGTTAAATAGCAATGGACTGAGGAAATCTCCCTGCAAACTCCACAACCTACTTCTCCAAATGGGGTGTTAAAATCAGATGTGATGATTGATGTTTTAAAGTTTGTGTAAAGGCTTTTAATCATGAGTTGAATATGTTGAGGTATGTGATGATAGCCAAGAACAGGTTGGATTAAATTGTGATGTACTTCACCAAACGCATTCTTGAGATCAAGAAGGGTTATAACGAGAGATCGCTGTCTTATTCGTGCTTGATTGATTATATCAGCCATTTGTGCTGTATGTTCAAATGTCCCCGATATATGAGGGGTGAAGCCCTTTTGAATTTCGTGCTCGATAAAGTTGTTGGCGAGTAGGTAAGAGAACATTGCATTATGAAGACTTGAAGTGAATACCTTCAGTGGTACGGATTGAAGAGTTATTGGACGGAAGTTCTTGGGGAGATTAGCATAATTTTTCTGGTGGATTAATAAAGTACAAGCTTTCTTCCATTCGTCAGGTAAAGATCCAGCAAGCCAGACTGCTTGAATTAGTTCGGTTAAATATGTTCGGAGGTATGGGCAACGCTTAAAACTTATAATGGAGATTTGATCTAGAGGACAAGGTGAGCCAGATGTTTTCATTTTACGAATAATATTTGTTATTTGTCGGTACGTTGGAGGTTCAAGGTCAAATTCAATAATGGGATCATGTAACATTGGAATCTATCTTGGAATTTGAAATATTTTGTTTGGCTTGACCTTAGTCAAGACTGTGGCAATTGATACACCAGGCGGAAATCTTAGTTTAAAGATAAAGAGCAGAGCCCAGCAAATAACTTTAAATCCAAACATAATAAAAGTAAAAAATTTATTAGCTAACGTTTCGTTGTTTACAAGACAACATCCTCAGAGCAATCTAAATGAATTTACAGGGTATGGTATATATATTTACGAAATAATGGTTTGATATTACAAAAACGGTTACATAGTTTGAAAGAACAAATGAATAGGGAGAAAGGAAAACAACTATCTGTGACTAGTTAATAAGTTAAGATTAATGTATGGTTAGTATAGTAGGTTAATATTACATAACTAAAATAACTCAAGAGGGGTAGATCTAATATTAGCATTATGGACAGGGTTAAGTTGAAATATTAATAGGCTTTCACGGATAAGAAGATCCCACTCAGAAGTGCCTGATGATAGGATTTTGAAATCAGAAACGGAGACTGGGTGTTTGTGCATGTGTTTGTGAGCGAGTATACTAGACATGGTTGAGATAGAGCGTTCTTTTCCAGTCAAAGGCGAGACTCCCATATGTTCTTAGATACGTGTGTAAATGTGTCGGCGTGTTTGGCCAACATACAATGCGCTACAGACAGGGGCGGATCCAGCTCCTGAACTGACTGATGCATACATAAGAACTCGCATTTGTCGGGGGGTCCGGGGGTATCCTCCCCCGGGAAATTTTGAAATCTAGAACCTCGGAAATGCGATTTCCTGCGTTCTGAGCAAACTCTTTTGTTCCAATTCATACATCAGAGTCACAAATTTATTTGCTGCATTTTTGGAAAGCACGTAAAAAACTTGAACCTATATATCGTAAAAACAACATAATTTTTCCATATAAGAAAAAATATTTGCTTGTACAAGTGTAATAGCAGCAGCGGTGCATAAGTCTCTATTAAAAAATAGTCAGTACTTACTACTGTGCTTCTTGTAGCCTTAACTTTTCTATTGAAAAACATTTCGGCAAAAAATCACGACAACGCAAATACACACATACGTGTAACAAAGGTGTATACAGTGTGATCCACTAGTTGCAATGTTGGACTCAAAAGATAGTGTTGTTAGGTTTCTTAACCACCTTCCCTGAGGCTTATTCATTTCCACTAATTTGCAATGTTCCATGAGTAAATTTTTTTAGCATTAGAATGGTGCATAAAGGTATTTTGTGCTCTAGTTGGTAAACTTATTTATATACAACTCTGCCTTATGCTGCTAACCTTACTCTGTATGGACAGTGGTTGTTGGCATCAGTACGTCAACTTTATTCACCCCTAGCAATTAAGATGCCTTTGATGTGAATTGCATATTTGCATGGTGACTAGCCCACACTCTAAATTACTGAGAATATTGCCCTGTCACCAGGAAACCAGTAAAACTAACACACAACAAGCAATGAGTTTTAAAATTCTATAAGTATAACTATAGGTACACATGACCCCAAACTTTAAATCAATAGATATATATAGTGATACTGTGTGTAAATTGATTTAATGAACTATCTTAGTTGAAAATTGTTTGTCAAATGAACCTACCAAACTGTACAATGATAAACAATATATGATGACATAATTGAATCATCAGATGTCTTCTATCAGTCCCCTTTTGCCTGCCTTTCAACTAATATATTTATATAGTACTCTTTTAAGATGATGTCAATGTAGAAAGGCTGCGCAGTAGTATTGATCAATATTTTCCCTGTGTTACTATATAAATGCACATCTTCGTCAAATATATCCGTACACTTATCAATGGTAATCCTCAGAGAGCCATGCTTGCTATCCAAAACATAGTATTGGGAGAATTAAGCACTACAAATATATATAATTTAATT